AGACCCAGCCTCTCTTTGGGGTCTTCTCTTCCTGCAGGTGGAAAGTCATGTCCCTTGGCCCATGTTCGGCCAGCTGTGGCCTTGGCACTGCTAGGCGCTCGGTGGCCTGTGTGCAGCTCGACCAAGGCCAGGACGTGGAGGTGGACGAGGCGGCCTGTGCGGCACTGGTGCGGCCCCAGGCCAGCGTCCCCTGTCTCATTGCTGACTGCACCTACCGCTGGTATGTCGGCACCTGGACGGAGGTGAGCACAGCGGGCGCTTGGGATCCCTGTGGGGCTGGGGCGGGCATCAGCTATGGCTGCTTATGTGTGAGGGAGTCTAGGGGGCATTGGTTCATTGTGTCCCCAGAAAGGAAGGAGAGAGCTGGGTCTGTTGGTGAGGGGGCACCTAGAGGCAGATACATAGAAGGCCTAGAGACCTGTGGGCAGCTAGGACTTAAGAGGCTCTTAGGTTTGGGGACACTGGAAGATGAACAGCAGGCCACTCAGCTCTATACAGATAAGGGAATGCCAGCTGTGCCACGCACCTGGCAGGGCAGGAAAGACAATGGTAAATGGAGCTCAGGCTGCCCCTGGAGGGGCTTGCTCATGGTGTGGAGGGCGCAGGGGCACAGCAGACAGAGATGAGCCGCAGCCCCACAGGCCTGCTTGCTCTAAGGCTTGGAGAGAGAGAGAGGCCATGAGGGTGACAGGGACCCAGGCTTGAATTCTGGCTCCTCCCACCTACATGACCTGTGCTGGGTGCCTTCTCTGAACCTCAATTTTCTCATCTGTGGAATGGAGACACTTACCTGCCTCCCAGCTTGTACAAAGATTATATTGGATCACTCCTGGCCTGTAGTTACCACTTCCTTGTCACTTTCTGGCCAGGGTCAGCTGTGACTCCTCCTCCCCTCTCTTGGCAGTGCTCTGTTTCCTGTGGGGATGGCATCCAGCGCCGGCATGACACCTGCCTCGGACCCCAGGCCCAGGCGCCTGTGCCGGTTGATTTCTGCCAGCACTTGCCCAAGCCAGTGACTGTGCGTGGCTGCTGGGCTGGGCCCTGTGTGGGACAGGGGACGCCCAACCTGGTGCCTCACGAAGAAGCCACTGCTCCAGGACAGACCACAGCCACCCCTGCTGGTGCCTCCCTGGAGTGGTCCCAGGCCCCGGCCCTGCTCTTCTCCCCGGCTCCCCAGCCTCGGCGGCTCCTGCCCGGGCCCCAGGAAAGCTCGGCGCAGTCCAGTTACGTCCTGTCCTCCTTCCTGTCGGGCAGCTGCTGTAGGAGGGGTGGGCAAAGGCGTCTCCCTCTGGGAAGGACTGGCACAAGAGCTTGGTCCCTGGGATGTGTGCCTGGGAGGCCAGGATCAGGGCTGGCCCTCTTCCTCCCTGGCAAAGCAAAACCTCCCTTTTACTACTATTAAGGGGAAGTAACTTGAAGTTAGGAACCCAGTTTGTGAGCCCCCTAGCCTCTGGGCTGCTCTGCATGTGCCCCTGCTTGCTGGAGCATCTGGAAGCAGCCCTGTGCCCTGAGGGTGATGCTTTGACCTACCTAGCCCCCATCCCTGTCCTGAGAAGGCTTCCAGCTGGGCCTTGGGGGACAGGATCCACCCCTACCTCCGGGTCTCCTTCCTCAGCTTGGAAGCCCCGGAGCCTGCCCTGCTGGAAATCCTGGAAGTCTCCTGCTCCCTTTTCAGGTGCCTGTGGCAGGCAGCACCTTGAGCCAACAGGAACCATTGACATGCGAGGACCAGGGCAGGCAGACTGTGCAGTGGCCATTGGGCGGCCCCTCGGGGAGGTGGTGACCCTCCGTGTCCTTGAGAGTTCTCTCAACTGCAGTGCGGGTATGTCTAGGGCCGTGAAAGCGATGCTGCCAGTTATGGCCCCTGCCAGGAGCCAGCACAACGCTGCATGCCCCGTTCCTGGCAGGAGCCCCATGTACATTCCCAACTTTAGTTTGCATTCCATCTCATGACTGGGGAGTGAGGATCTGCATTTTACAGATGAGGAAACTGAGGCTAGGAGAGATTAAGTGATGTGCTCAGTTACTTAGAGTCACATAGCCAGCAGTGGGAGAGGCAGGACTTGAACTCCGCTCAGTCCACAAGGAGCCACTCCTCTGCTGACCAGGCATGGTAGTGCTGGACCCTCACTGCCCTGCCGCTTCCTAGGGGACATGTTGTTGCTTTGGGGCCGGCTCACCTGGAGGAAGATGTGCAGGAAGCTATTGGGCATGACTTTCAGCTCCAAGACCAACACGCTGGTGGTGAGGCAGCGCTGCAGGCAGCCGGGAGCCGGGGTGCTGCTGCGGTATGGGAGCCAGCTTGCTCCTGAAACCTTCTACAGAGGTATGGCCAGGCCTTCTCCACCTCCCCTGGGTGCTCCAGTCCTGGCAGGGAGGCTGGGTGGGTGCTGCTGGGGATGGGGCCAGTCCCAGTGGGGTAGTGGGAAGATACAGAGGGAGCTGACTGAGATGGAAGGAGCTAGGGTTGGCCAGTGTCAGTCTGTACATGCCAGGGAGAGGTCGCAGGATGAGTGCTACATCCCTCCGCTTTGGGACTGTGCAGCAAGATGGATGGATGTGGGATGTGGTCCACATCCTCAGTCAGTCCCTCAGGCCTCTGCCCCACACCCACCCGCCCCGCCCCCAACCCTCCAGCCTTTCAAGGCCCTTTAGGGTTTTTGTGAGAGCCACTGTCCCTCGGCCCTGTTCTAGTGCACTGGTGTGAGCACACATGCTTGTACATGCGTGTGCACCCACAAGCACACCTCAGACAGAGGATGCCACCTCAGGGACCCCTGCCTTGCCCATGGCCCCCTAGATACCCTCTGATAGCCCTCTCGGTTGTCCTGGGGGGCTTGCCCTCTCCCAACAGTCTGAGCTGGCCAAAGTCGGCTTCCCTAGCCGGTTCCAGAGGTTCCTCGGCTCCCCCAGGTGTCAGGGGCTTAGCGGCAGTGGGCTTAGCCTCTGCAGAGACCTAGTGCGCCTCCTCCTTGCCCCAGCACCTGCCTGAGCAGAGAGCTGTGTATGTGCCTCAGCGCACAGGCGCTGCTGGGTCCTGCCAAAAGGCCATGAGCCCACTGTCACCGTTCACATTGCTTCTCGCTTCCCGGCCCAGCCCCACCCATACAGGCATCTGCCTTGAAAGAGGTGCAGGAGGTATAGGCAGGTGGCGGCTCCAGTGAGCTCTGAGGAACAGCAGTGGCTGCCATGGGTGGAGCCTATCCTTGGTGCCAGGTTCAGTGTGAAACACTCTTGCACATGTGACATCATTGAGTCCTAAAGACCACTCTGCTCAGTGCATGCCATTGTTTCCTTCAGTTGCAGAGGAGGGAACCAGAGCCCAGAACATTTAGCCTTTGCCCAAAGTCACTGGGCCAAGAAGTGGTAGAGGTGGGGTTCAGCAGGGTTTGCCTGGGAACCCCAATATTGACCACAGTGCCATGCTGCCCTGCACTGCTTCCCGGCTGTGAGTTGCCCTGGCCTGTGGCATCAGAGGTCTGTCTGGGTTTCTATGTCCCACTTGCTCCCTCTGCAGAATGTGACATGCAGCTCTTTGGGCCCTGGGGTGAAATCGTGAGCCCCTCGCTGAGTCCAGCCACGAGTAAGGCAGGGGGCTGCCGGCTCTTCATTAACGTGGCTCCGCACGCCCGGATTGCCATCCATGCCCTGGCTACCAACATGGACAATGGGACCAAGGGAGCCAATGCCAGCTACATCTCGGTGAGGCCCAGCATGGGGACTTGTGCTGTGATTCTGGACAGCTTTCCCTAGGGGGTGCAGGACTAGGGGACCCCCTTCAGTTTATTTCAGACTCAAACCCTCCAAATCATTAGTGAAAGAATGGGAGAAGAGCGCTTCCTCCACATATTCACCAAGAAATGTTTTTTGAGCTACCTACAAGAGTGAAATAGTGGCTCACACCTGTAATCCCAGCACTTTGGGAGGCTGAGGAGGGCAGATCACTTGAGGTCAGGAGTTCGAGACCAGCCTGGCCAACATGATGAAACCCTGTCTTTACTAAAAATACAAAAAGTAGCCAGGCGTGGTGGCGTGTGCTTGTAATCCTAGCTACTGGGGAGGCTTAGGCACAAGAATCACTTGAACCCAGGAGGTGGAGGTTGCAGTGAACCCAGATCGCACCACTGCACTCCAGCCTGGGCAACAGAGTGAGACTTTGTCTCAAAAAAGAAAAAAAAAAAAAGCAAAATGATAAAGAATGGTAAAGACCTTTCTGATGTAGACTGACAGCTAACCCAAGACTGAAGCATAATTTTACAGTCTGATATGACTTGGACAGAGGAGCACCCTGCACCCTCCCCAAGGTTTCCTGTGTCCTGGGAGAACTGTGTTCCTCAGGGTATCAGCTTCCCCAGACGAGGCAGCCTGGCCCTGCTCTGGCACCCTGACTGTGTGTCCTCGGGGAAGTGATGTAACTTCCCTGGAGCTCAGTTTTCTGGGTAGAGTAACAGTGTACTCCTAGGAGGGCTTTGTAAGCATTAAATGTGATCCGGAATCTGTGAGCCCCTGCACATTAAGGACTAATTAATGTGAGTGCTAATTATCACTTATGGCTGGTCCTTCTGGGCTGCCCCTTTTCTCTCAGATCCGGGACATCCACAGCTTGAGGACCACAACGTTCCATGGGCAGCAGGTGCTCTACTGGGAGTCAGAGAGCAGCCAGGCTGAGATGGAGTTCAGCGAGGACTTCCTTAAGGCTCAGGCCAGCCTGCGGGGCCAGTACTGGACCCTCCAATCATGGGTACCGGAGGGGCAGGACCCTCAGTCCTGGAAGGGAAAGGAAGGGACCTGACGGTCAATGAACATTTGTTACGTGTCTGGCCAGCTCTGGAGGGTTGACCTCTGGTCTCAGTGCTTTCCAATTCGAACTTTTTCCAATCTTAGGTATCTACTTTAGAGTCTTCTCCAATGTCCAAAAGGCTAGGGGGTTGGAGGTGGGGATTCTGGAAAGGCAGCCCCCATTTCCTCGGGTACCAATAAATAAAACATGCAGACTGACCGGCGGTTTTTTCTTATAAGCTGTCCAGACCTGGCTTGAAAACCCATCCCATGGCAAGGCAGGGATTCGCTGGCCCCGCTTGGCTCTATCTTGATCTGCGCAAGCCGCTGGACATCCCTAGTTATCTTCTTCCTATCCAGGAAGAAAAGCCAATCAGGATTCCACTCCGAGGCTGGCGCATTTGCCAGCTCCCTGCGAAGCCCCACCCGTGTGTCCTGGTGTGAGGGTCTGACCCCTAAGGTGTCCGCGCGCCGCCAAACCCCGCCCCCTATGCTAATGAGTGCCCGCCTCCTTCAGGAGCAAATCTCCGCAAACTGCGGGCCTCCGCCCCCTATGCTAATGACGCCCGCCCCCCTCGGGCGCACCCCTCCGATGCCTGCGAGCCCCGCCCCGTATGCTAACGAGCTCCCCCCCGCCGCGCAGCACCTCGCCGTAGCCTGCGGGTCCCGCGCCCTACAATAATGAGCACCTGCCACCCCTCGAGCTCACCTAGCCGCGGCCTGAGGGTCTCGCTCCCTATGCTAATGAGCACCCGCCTCTCCTCGGGCGCACCTCGCCGCAGCCTGAAAGCCCCGCCCCCTATGCTAATATGCTCCCTTTCCCACAAGGCAGCGCGCCGGTTCGGACGCGGCCGGCTACCGAGCCCTTTGTGAGGGCGTGAGCTGCGCCTGACGGCGGCACCATGAGCGTCTCAGGTGGGGCGCCCGCGGCGTCCGCCAGCTCTGCGCCGCCCACGCAGGAAGAGGGCATGACGTGGTGGTACCGCTGGCTGTGTCGCCTGTCGGGGGTGCTGGGGGCAGTCTGTGAGTACCCGGTCCGGGAGAGGGGGGCCAGCCCCGCCGCGCATGCGCGCCCCGCCCCGCCCCGCCCCGCCCCGGCGGCCCCAGGGGAAAGGACCCGCTGGGGGTCGGGGGCCTGCCGGGCGCCTCCCGGGGCGGAGGAGTGGCGGGGCCGCTGGCAGCCGGCGTCCCGGGGTTACCATGGTTACCATGGTTACCGGCTCGGGCCTGGGCGCCTTGGTACCCTGAGCTGGGCTAGCGCTTCTGGGAACATTCCCCGAGGTACCAGAAACCCCAGGGCGGGGGGCACCGGCCTGGGGCACGTGACTCAGCCCTTCCCTCGCCCCCCAGGGGCTTTTGTGAGACTTTCTCAGTGATGCTCACGGAGCGCATGCCCACCTGTCCTGTAGTAAGCGTCAACTGTTGACTTGGGCGTAGGCGACGGCAGCCACGTTGCTAACCTTTGGGCGAGGATTGTTTATAAGGGAGGCGGGTGCACGGCTAGCTAGATTTCTGGCAGGAAGCCACTGGGCGGAAGTTTGCTGAGGGTCAGGTGGTGTCAGGGCATAGGTGGCCCCCGAGGGCCGCGGGGCAGTGAGCTGAGGGCCGGGCCTCTCCCTGGGTCCTCTGTCCGCTGTCAGCTCTCCCCGTTGCTGCTGCCTTAGCCGCCTATCACCGGCCCTCCTCCCCTTCTCCGTAAGCATCCCAGGCACAGACCCTGACCTTAGGCTTCCAGGGAAGCTAGGCTCTTAAGCGCAGCCAGAAAAGGACAAAGATGGAAGCAGGGCTGCTCCAGGAGTGAATGGAAGCTGTACAGCTGGCCTTCCAGGGAAAGACAAGTCTGTCTGAATGATATCCTTTCCCTTCCTGTCTGCCCTTAACCTTGTGAATAACTGGAGTGGGCAAGGTCTTATAGAATGTCTGTCGAGGATGTCTGCAGGGTTTAAACACTGGCACAGAGGGCTAAATCTGGGCCTGGGCAGGGCAGACCCCATCAGCTCTCCTGCCAGAATGACCATCTTTTCACTTGAGGTTCCACAGCCTTTCCAGGTGGGTGGAGGGTGGAAGGAGGTTGAGGGTGGAGGGATGTTGAGGCAGAAGGGTGCGGGGCTAGGAGTGTGCTGCCCTTGCTAGGCGTGCCCTTATCCGGAGGCAACTGGATACAGTAGGGCAGGCCCTACCCCCAGATCACAAAGAGGCCCCAGGTTTGTGCCACTGCTCTTCAGGGCAAGTACGCTTTTGACTTTGTAGGAGAGACTGGTGGGCTTGAAGTTAGGCATTGGTTCCAGTCCTCTCATGTCTGGTTAGCTGTTTTCCCCGCAGATTAGGGTGAGCAGTGCAGACGGGTGACATGGTTAGTGGTGAGAAAGGAAAGGTCCTGACTGTGGCCTGTAGGCCACACCTCCTTCCTTCTTGGTCAGTGACCCTGCCGACTCACAGATTAGCCCTGGAGTCTTATTCAGTTCTTTGTCTCTCAAGGTGAGGTGCCTGTGCCTTTCCCGGGAGTACCTGGGGGCTCTGTTGGGTCTACAGATGAAGCTTCAGGAGAAACCTGTGGCATTGCCCTGAGTTGTCAGTTGCATCTGCAGAATTTTGGGGGCACGGTTATGTGACTATTAAATGCTGTATTCCAGGGTAGAATGCAAAAATGCAGCGTGTTTTAGAGATGCAGCAGGAATTCAGACAAGGGTTGTGTGCCTGGCTGGTCCTTGGGGTAAGGTTTTCCTCCTCCAGGGTGAGGGGATCAGAGAGAGGAGCTGAAGAGGGTCTACCCTGGGTCCTGAGAGCATCTGGAGGTGATATCTTGGGAGGGGACAGGATTGTATGGTGACAGCCCCCTCACGTGGAAGATATCAGCATTGAGGTCCCCAAGTGGACATCCTCCAGCCCTTTATTGCTAAAGGATTCCTGGCTGGAGCCTGCTGGTCTGGGTTGACACCTGGTCCTCCCCCAAGGCTGGCTGTGAGTTGGACAGCTGGGGTAGGGTTGGAGCTGGAGGCCAAATGCTGACTGCAGCAGGAAGCACAGGCGAGCTGTCAGGTGAGGCCAGGCACAGCAGAGAGGCAGGGAGCCGTGTCGCCCTTTGGGCACTCTGCTGGGGCAGGCAGGCCCCTTTGCACCTGTGGTTCTGGAACCCCTTGCTGTCTGAAGGCAGATGTCTAAGGCTGTGCTGAGGAGCAGTGCAACGCTTGAGTCCTTTGTTTTAGAAGGAGACCCTGGGGGCCCACGAAGCAGTCCCACTGCAGTTCGGCTCACTTTATCTGGCTTCCTTGCCTGCTGTCTGCATAAGGTTACCTGGGAAAATGGAAAACGGCAGAATTCCAGACCCAGGTGGAGGGATCAGGTGCAGAGGAGCTGCTGCAAGTTTAATGAGCTGGTTGCTAATTGCTGCCTCCAAGGCCCCCGCTCAGCGATGGCCTGGGCTTGCTCCCTGCCCAGCAGCCAGCTCCCTGGACCCTCCTTGAAGGCTCCTGGAGTTCCTGGTGAAGCCGGGCTGCAGGCTGTGGGTAGAGGAGGGAGTTGGGTGCAAGAGACCCTGCTGGTGAGGTGCAGCAGGGAGGCGGGGAGGCAAGGCTGCACATCTGGGCATCAGAGAAGCCACGCTCTGGGCTGGAGGAAGACGCCCCCTCCCCTTCCTGGCCTCATGGCATTTCAGCGGTGTGTGGCTGGGCTGTGGGACTTGCTCACGTGCAAGAGGAGAAACGGACCTCGGCAGATGAAGATAGCATACCAGCGGCACAGGGCTGGTGAGGAAGTTAGAGCTGGAACTGCTGCTCGGTCTTACCTGGTTCCCATCTCTGTTCTGAGAGAGGCACCTGTTGTCCCAACCAAAATCCAAGCCACATTTTCCGAGTCAGAGGACTTCCTGTGTGGCTGGCCCTGTGAATGGTGACAAGTGACCCTTGCCAAAGGCTGAGTCTTGGGAGAGCAGTGGCCTGAATCCTTGAGGGACATTCTCTCTTTAATCCTCCTTTAATCCTAACCTCCCTTTGAGGTGGATATTGATGTAGCTGGGGTCAAAGGGCCAGCTCCTCTGAGCCCTGGAGCGGAGAGAGGGTGCCGTGAGATCCACCTGCCACCTTGCTGCCACCTTGCTGTGGGGCCTGGGGCAAGCCGCTGCACCTCTCTGCATCTCCTCACCTATCTCAGATGATAGAGGGCAGGCTTCTGGGTGCTGTGAGAACTGTGTGCTGAGCATCCGCAGAGACTCTCGTCCTTTCCAGTCATCTCCCGAGGCTGCCATCCCAGCGGGCTCCCCCTGACTCCTTGCTGACTCCTGCCCGTCTTTCTTGTTTCAAGCTTGTGCGATCTCTGGCCTCTTCAACTGCATCACCATCCACCCTCTGAACATTGCGGCCGGCGTGTGGATGATGTGAGTAGCACATGGCCATCCCGCCCCAGGGGTCTCGCTGGTCGGGAGTCTGTGGGGCACCTCCTGGGGCAGAGGAGTGGCAGGGGCCGTGGGAGCGGGCATCCTTGTGGTTGCCATGGTTACTGGCTCCAGCCTGGGCGCCTCAGGGCTTGTGGGTTTCTGGCCACAGCATGGGGCTTCTTCCCCTTCATATCCCCACCACGTTTGGTTTCCTAATGAGAGGTCAGGGCCCAGGGAACGCCCACCCTGGCCTTCATCCGGTGCAGGGGCGAGGCCATCAGTGCTCCAGACATTTCTGGAGCATCCGCTGAGACTGCAGATGCCAAGTCCACTACACTGGGGCCCTCGCCCTCTGGAAGCTCCCAGGACTGGAGTGGGGAAGGCCGTTTGTTGGGGCTGGCTGAGGACTGAGTTGGATGGTCCGCTGGGAGAGGACACTCTAACTCGGAGCTGTGCTAAAGATAGATGGGAAAGGCGGATCGGAGTTGTCACGGGAACCCGCGGTCAGAACACCCTCATGTGCGTTCCATGCCCACCTCCTGCCAGGGTGGCGCCATCCCGTCAGAAGGGAAGGTGGGGTGAGGGCAGGCCCGTGCGACTTGAGGCACATGAGAAGTGGCTGTGACCAGGAATTGACTGTCCTCGTGGGGCTTGGTGCCTTGAGGGGCACAGAGTTGGACGCGATTCAGATCCCGTCCTCAGTGACCTATGGCCAGTGGAGAGCCTCGGGGGCCTGCTGTGGCGGGGTCCCCAGCGCCTGTGCTGGCCAGTGGTGGATAGGGAAAGGGGATGGACAGAGAGGCGCCTGCCCCAGCTTCAGGGGGTGGAGTCGGAGCGTGGCCGAGTTTGAAGTGGAAGGGGCTGGCCCAGCACAGAGTGAGCCAGTGCTTGGAGGCCTGGTGTGTGGGAGGCTTGGGGCGGGGTGCAGTGGTTAAGAGTCGCAAAGAGAGTGCCTGCCCCGGGCTCGGGGTGGCTCTTGGGTGTCCTGAGCCTGCATTTCTGTTACACAGGCATAATGATGGCACTTTTCTCCCAGGTGTGGGGACAGACAGAAGGGCCTGGCCCAGTGTCTGGTAACTGATTGTTACCCACGCATAGAGAATACCATGACCACAGCAGACACCCTCCATCACCAGTGGCGTAGCTGTTCCCACCTCAAACATGGGGCTGGACGCAAGGACTTGCTAAAGTTTTTCCTCCCCAGTGTGGGCTTCCCCTGGGTGTCCCTGGGCCTGGGGCCAGTGGCATCGGGCAGCTCTCCGTCACTGTTTCGGGACTGCATGGCTCCAGCTCTCTGCCTCCCTGGTGGGGCAGCCTTCCTGGTGCTGGTGCCACTGACAGCTCTTGATGGCCATGGCGATAATACTAACAGCAGACAGAGGACACAGCTGCCAGTGCTCCATCTGTGGATGGACCTGCTGCAGTGTTATAGCAGTGCCATGATGT